CCATCAATGTTGAAGATTAACCAGACACCTGAAAAGAGGCACTCAAAGTACAAACTTATTCCCACACACAGTGTTCCAACAGCACATTAAATAATGCAGAATTTGGAAAATAAATTTTTACTACATTAAATGTTTTATAACATAACATCATGCAATTAAACTGAACATATTTTCTGGTGTAACAATATGTAAGACTACTCCCTTTTAAAACATTAGTGTATTTTAATAATGTTACATAAAGTAGAAACACCAAGATTTGAACATTTAATTCAACCAGACAAAATAATTACTAAGCAATTTATGGGAGAGCAGATGGCCACAGTATTATTGATGGCTTTCTCTATGATGATGGAGAAGGAGTACCTTTCATCAAAGGTCACATTTTAGTAGGGCCTGAGCAAGGTCAGAAGCATTTGGATAAATGCCAGAAAATTAGTAAGGGCAGAAGGAAGACTTGGGACCAATTTCAAGTTGAAGGTGAGGGAAAGAAAAAGATGAGGAGGAACTCCAGGTTTACGACACCTCTCAATGACAGTAGGAATGTGACAGGGACACAGGTTTGGGTGAAGCAAAGAAAATAAGCTGTATTTCGGACATTCTAAATTTATGATCCCTTGGGGCGCCTGGGTGGCGCAGTCGGTTAAGCGTCCGACTTCAGCCAGGTCACGATCTCGCGGTCCGTGGGTTCGAGCCCCGCGTCAGGCTCTGGGCTGATGGCTCAGAGCCTGGAGCCTGTTTCCGATTCTGTGCGTCTCCCTCTCTCTCTGCCCCTCCCCCGTTCATGCTCTGTCTCTCTCTGTCCCAAAAATAAAAATAAAATAAAAAAATAAATAAATAAAAAAATAAAAAAAAAATAAATTTATGATCCCAATAGCTAGCACTATTTGGTATATGTTGTCCTAAATATTTTTCATGTATCAAACATAAAATTCTTACTACGATCCCACAAAATGGAACCATGATCCACTACACCCATTTACCAGGTGAGTGAGGCCCAGAGAGCTTATGCGATTTACCCGTGGCACACAGTTACTAGATGGCAGTGCTGGGGCTTGAATCAAGGCAGACTATCTTTAGAGCACCTGTCCTTTTCTATTTAATTTTAGTTTGAGTGGTAATGGCATTCAAATGGCTCAAAAATCAAAATGATGTGAAGTGGTGTTCATACACAAATCGTTTGCTTCCATCCCACTCTTTGCTCTCTATTCCTAGTTTCTCTCTCCTTTAAAAAAAATATTTACTTATTTATTTTGAGAGAGAGTGAGAGAGTGCACATGTGTGAGCACAGGGAAGGGGCAGAGAGAGAGAGAGAGAGAGAGAGAGAGAGAGAGAGAGAGAGGGAATCCCAAGTAGGCTCCTTGCTCAGCACAGAGCCGATGTGGGGCTCTATTCCACAACCTTGGGATCATGGCCTGAACTGAAACTAAGAGTTGGATGTTCAACTGACTGAACTACCCAGACGCCCCATTCTGTTTTTCATTATGCAAATGCATGGACATAAAAATACATGTATTTATTTACCCACCTTTGACACTCTTCTGCCTTATTTTTCTTTTGAACAGAGCACCGCACCTTGAAAATCTTTCTGTGTCCTACATAGAAAACCTCCTCTTTCCCTTTCCACCTCCCTTTTAAACAGCACATTCCATTGTATAAACTAGAAAAGGGCTGTTTCCTAACTTTTGTTTTTATAATCAATGATGCAGTGCAGTAGCTGTGCACATATCATGTCTGTATCTTCAAGTATATCTGTGGCACAAATTCCCAGAACTGGGATTTCATAGGTTAGAGAGTAAATGTATTTGTAACCTGGATACATATTTTCAATTGCCCTCTATGGAAATGGTAAACAATCTGTACTTCTAGCGTTAATGGATAAGGATAGCGAATACACTTTCAACTCCCCTGCTATACTCCAGAAATAGATACCAGAAAAATGTTCCTGTATTGCCACATGTAGATGAGAATGAAGACAATGTGAGTGAGGAGTGAGGACAGAGCTAAGTTTGGGATTTAATACTCAGAGTGACTTTATGGGGTACGTGCTGTATCGTTATTTATAGCTATGATTTATGAGACACAGAAACATTAAGTATCTGCTCCAAGTTTCTCCCCCAGTAATTGGTCAAGCCTAGATCTGAACACACATCTTAGCACCAGGATTTTTACTTGTCAAAACTAAAATCTCCTAGCGTGCTGAAATAATTCAACTGTTCTCTATAGTTTCTATTTCACAGAAGCATTTGTTTTCTATTCCATACTGAAGTATTAATATATTCATACACATATAATATACACATATCAATATCAATCATCAACCAATCAACCAATCAATCATCTGTCTATCTGAATTCTAGGTTATTGTTGCTTTTCTTTTACCTAAAAATAATGTGATGACTTTTCTTATACTTAAAAATAATGTGATGATTTTCTTAATTTTTGTGCCATAAATCAAAAACCAAGAGTTAAATGAAAACTGTTTTCCCTGGACCTTACAACAGATGCCCCCATTAGATGATCTGCAAACAGAGAAGTGAACTTCTCGCTCATAAAGAAAAGCATATTATGTGATATTATTCTGTTTTGTAAACTTCATATGGTATGCTCTATTGTTTGTCAGGCCACGATGGAAAGGACACAGACTGAAGATAAGCTCTTTATGGTAACTTCTCATTGTGATATAACCACATGGGTTTCTACAACTTATCTAGAAGTATTTGAAGTATGTTTGATGTGAACACTAGCTTTAATAAACCAGCTTCAAGAACCTTTACTATGGTTTCTGAGAGTGCTGTGCTCTTTCACTGCATAAAATAAAAGAGAAAAGTAAAAAACAAAAATGAACCACAAAACCAACATTCTGAAACTTTTTTACAGGCTCAAACAAATTGAGGCTATATAATTTAAGGCCTAGCAATATCTAAAATGTTGGCATTAATTCATCACCATTTGGACATGAAATTCATACTCCATTTGGAAACCAATAATGATGTGTTTGTTTCCATGCTCTAAATATTCCCAAGTGGGTTACCTCACCACTAAGAGGACTTCCTGAATTCCATTCATGGCCTACAATTGGCACCTACTTTCTCAGGACTGTTACAAAGGATCGGGATAGGACACGAAGGGTTTTGAAGCACATCGATACACACATCAATAATATAGAGGCCAGGGGTGCCAGCTGGTTAAGCGTCTGACTCTTGATTTTGGCTCAGGTCATGATTTTACGGTTTGTGAGATCAAGCCCCGCATCAGGCTGGGTGCTGACAGTGCAGACCCTGCTTGGGATTCCCTCTCTCTCTCTCTCTCTCTTGCTTGCATTCCCTCTCTCTCTTAAAATAAATACATAAATATATAAAAAAAGGTAATATAGAGGCCAGTATCTCCAGCTTTATGTCCCAATCAATGCCCCCAAAATGTGTCATCAGTATTTGGCTTACAGATCCTTTTTGTTCACCACATATAGTATTTTTTTTAAAATATGAATCTATACTTAAAGGATGGAATACTTATATTAAAACATCCAGATTTATGCCTTTCCTTGAAAACTCAGGAGTTGTGGTAAAACTGGGGCCCACATTTTCCCATGGCAGCATTTAGGGAGAGTTGGGTAGATGCAGTCTGGCCCTGTTTTTTTTTTAAATTTTTTTTTCAACGTTTTTATTTATTTTTGGGACAGAGAGAGACAGAGCATGAACGGGGGAGGAGCAGAGAGAGAGGGAGACACAGAATCGGAAACAGGCTCCAGGCTCTGAGCCACCAGCCCAGAGCCCGACGCGGGGCTCGAACTCACGGACCGCGAGATCGTGACCTGGCTGAAGTCGGACGCTTAACCGACTGCGCCACCCAGGCACCCCAGTCTGGCCCTGTTTTGACAAAGGTTTGCTTCTAGCTCACTCCTGTCACAGACACTTCTATTACACTGCCAACATCAAGGCTATTTATCATGGAAGTACTAATGTAATTTTAAAAAGTTTGATTTTTTCAAGAGTAAAATGATGAGAACACAGTTTTCTCTTGCAGCCGGCCTGATTAGTTCATTTAAGTTACCTGCCTGAAAAACCCTGACTGCATATGACTTTGTGACCTCGCTCTAATTGGTGGCAGTTATTTCTATGATAGTGAATTAGTGTTGAGATCCAACAGAGGTTAATCTTATGCAAAAAGCACATTTCCAGCGAAATTTATGCCCCATGAATACGACTCCTTTTGTATCTTCAAAATATCATCATTATCATTGTGTTATTAGGGAACTTCCAAAATAAATCACATTACCGGTCACATATTATGTGTGTCCCTTGGCTTATTATGTGTAATCTCCCTAAGAGCAAGGGTGTTGTTCCTTAAAGCTTGGATCACGGCCTGGCACATAGTAGGTGCTCAATAAGTACTGCTGAATGAAAGGTAATGTTAAATTCCTCACTGTGCTGGGTATCTTGCAGTTTCTTTTCTAGAGCTACTCTCCACCTGTATTCACTCTGCTCTGGGGTCTGGGAGACTCATGTGCAAACTACATTACTGTGATCAGTGGGTTCCTTTTTGTCTGGAATTTGATTTGGCCAAAGGGGAGCACAGGCAGGGGGCTGTTGGGCAGGAGAAGGATGGCTGGGTATTTAAAAGTCCTGGTTCCTCCTCCAAGGACTGACTGCATCCCTTTGTTGAAGGTTGCATCTCCTGCCAAGGCAGTCCTTGCCATGAGTCCCTTTCTGAGCATGGATTTCCAAGAGTGCTGCCTCCACTTACCCCTTCAGGCATATGGGCAGTAGCTGTATCCCTCGTTACTGGTCCCAGGTTACTGTATTATCCCTACCAATCTTTGTAAAAAGTCCCCTTAAGAATCTGTCCTCCATTATCCAACTTGAGTATGGCACCTGTTCCTGCCGGGCCCCTAAATAAGACACCGATCATAAGCCTGCTGTGGCCAAATTACTCCCTCCCCTCACCATTACAGAAAAATAGAGGAGAAACGGCTCTTCTCTCAGTAACCAAGAGATGTTCACCTGTAAATGGCAGAAGCCGGGTGGGAGCCGGTGTCGTAGCTGGCACGAACCCGTCCCCGATACAGTTCGACGGCAATGTGGTCCTTGTCGCCTTTATACAGGAGGATTCCACTGTCTTCGTCTGTGGCAATCTAGTAGGAAGTAACCCTGACATTAGGACGCACCGTCATCCACACGTACTTCATCAAAAAGAAGACTGCTTAGTGAAGAGTTTTTCCTACAGCTTATTTTTTCCTTATAGCTATGAGAAAACAGTAGCGCACGCTGACAGGACGACTTGAAAGGTGACCCGATCCTAAATTACTTTGATGCAAATAGATTCATAAAGAATTAAAAAAACCAACAACACAGTAACAGACACTTCAGTAAACACCACTGGGTGTGCCTAAAACATTCTCTGCTGGAGATCTTCACTTACCTGTTCTTTTCACTCCTGTTCCAGGTTGTCTTTATGGCATATATGAAATGTAACTGCACTGAGTGAGACTGATTTTTATATTCCACATAAAAAAACATTCTTCACAGTTATGGCATGAACAGTGGGAGATCTGTTTTTATCCTGCTTTCTAGCCTTTGTGGGCTTTTGAGGACCAAGTCAGTAAAAATTAGGATTTCTACCTGAAACCCACTAGGTTCTTCTTGTAACAATCTGGTATGGCAAATGCTGGAAGACAGGGAGACAGGCTTTCTACGGAAGGCCCGTCTGCCTTCCTGAGTCCCATTCCTCATGACGGTTAAGGACACTCACTCATGACACTCATGACACTCACTTGGAGTGTCAAGGTAACCTGAATAAGGAGTGACGCCTATGTTAATCGGCTAAGGTCATCTGAATTAAAAATATATTAAAATATTTTTCCTACCAGATAAAATAAACATGCAGTCCCAGCTTGCCCCTGCGTGTCCTGAATTCATAACTCCTAATCTAGTCTCACCTCCTTCGTGCAGGTCCGAATGACTTGCTTAAGGGGACACAGTGACTTGGTGAAAAGTCTTAAAATAAGATCAGTTTGTTAATTTCATGTCGCTTCTTAAAGTTTCCGGGGGAAGAGTTAAAAGACAACGGCTGAATATTTTGTCAAGATGTCTTGTCTCACCGGTGTTCTCCTCATCTGCAGAATTCCTAACAGCACCCTCCCCACCCCCCTGGCCCCATCTCACAGGGCACAGAGCCTGAACTCTGAGTCATAAAAAAAAAAGGGAATAAAAATACCTTTACCAGAGCACAAACCATATATTTTGTTGCGCCCTATGTGTTTCACAATCTAGTGAATAAAAATACCTGGTTCCCATTTAGTTTTGAAAAACACAAATGTTTTAGAGAAGAATAACTGAAGATTTTCATACAGAGAACATTTTCTGTCACTGCGTTGTGCAGTCGATAACTGTCTCTTTAGGAAATAGTATCACTCACAAACTACCAGAGGTTTATGATTTAGTTAAATGTGGTTTAGGATGAAATCAGCCCTTGCTGGTGGGGGATGTCTTACCTGCAGAGTGATGTTCGTTTGTGGACGGACCTTGGCTGAAGGAATTTGAAGATAAGACTCTTTGTTTACAAAATTCACACTAACCAACTTTTCACACTTCTCTCCCTGGTAGCCTGGCAAACACTGGCATATTGGCTCATTTATCCTGATGATGCACTGGGCACCGTTCTGGCAATCAAAATTATCACAGGGGCTGGTACGAGGGAGGACCATGGGTGGAGAAAATTCGCAGAACAAGCCACTAAAGGAAACAGAAAGAATACATTGCTTTTAGTTGCGTGTGAATTGCATGAGAATTGCGGTCTTTCTGTAAGACTTAACTCTACCACAAATCTCTATTTCTACTTTTACCTGTAGCCTTCGGGGCAGATGCACGTATAGCCATTCACGGCATCTGTGCAGTGGGCTCCGTTTTTGCATTTGTTATCTTGGCAGTCATCAAAGTCAATGTCGCAGTGCTCGCCTATGTATCCTGGTGTGCAGTCACATCTGTTTGAACAAGTAGGTAAACAGTTTCGAACTGAACTGAGCCAAGGTAAGCAAAACAGTTGCATTTCATCTAGGAAAAAAGGGCTCTATCTTTAGAAAACTTAGTACACCTAGAACTAAGGTAGCAGTGTTTGTCAACTAAACTTCAATGAAAGTACATTAAAACTAAAACAAAACACTCAAAACTTATATAGAACAGGCTCATCGAGCCCCCAAATTAACAGATCCCTAGAAAACAGTTATTCCACGTTTTCTCCCTGGAATCTGTCAGAATGGTGATAATTAGTAAGCATCCATGAACCAAATGAGGATGCAAATGTGCAGGTGTCCCTCCTTCCTTCTCTCCTCCCCCCATCTTGTTTGCTTTCTTCTGTCCCTCCCCTCTCCTCCATCTTCCCATATTCTCCCTCCTTCTCCCCTCCATCCCCTCTCCCCTCCCTCCCTCCACCCTGACTATTTTTGCTTAGAGTGTCCTCTATTTTCATTTGCTCTAACTCCTTTGAACAGTTGAGACAATGGAAGTGCTATGTTATAAAATTTACCAAAAATATTAAACACATTTTAAAATAATTAACATTTTTGTTTCCTAATAGAGAATGGATGTATTGGGGAGGCTGGGTGGCTTAGTCGGTTAAGGGTCTAACTCTTGGTTTCAGCTCTGGTCATGATCTCACAGCTCCTTGAGATCGAGCCCCATGTCGGGCTCTGTGCTGATGGTACAGAGCCTGCTTGGGATTCTCTCTCTGTCTCTGTCTCTCTCTCTGCCACTACCCTGCTCGTGCTCTCTATCTCTCTCTCTAAATCTATATCTATATCTATATTTATATCTCTGTCTCTATATCTATATCTATCTATATCTACAAATAGATATAGATATAATTTAAATAAAAGAAAAAAAAGAGAATGGATGTATTGGAATCAAATAGTATTTTATGAAAAAAAAAAAAAAAGTCAGCATTGACAATCATTATGGCAGAGGTTGGCTGACCTAGTGGAGCAGGACAGGGAAACTGATAAAAAAAAAAAAAAAATCCAGGGGCAATTCCATGGATAGCTTTCAGCTTGTTTGTTCACTCTGGTGGCCCCAGGGAAGGATGGGTCTCAGCTGCATTGATGAAGAACCATCATGCGTACACGTGGTGTTCTCTGAGCACTTCCTAGGTGCTATGCCCTGTTCTAACCACTTTGCATATGTGGATTCACGGAATCCTTCTCCACGATCCTGTGACAGCAGTATCACCACTACGTCACATGACAGGTGAGAAAACTAACAGACAAACTGGTTAAGGGATTTACCCAAGGGCACTCGACTTGTAACTGCCACAGCCAAGGTACTAAACCCAAGCAATCTCACAAGAGAGCCTGGATTTCTCACCACTGAAGGATGAAATACTTTATCGTTGCCTGTGGAGAAAGTAGCATGGCGTGTGCAGTGCTTTTCAATCTGTGCTTTGAGGGGCGAAAAGGGACCCCTGAAGGGAAGGAGGCTATTGGCAGTTTCCTGTTTCCCTCCCCTCTCCCCTCTCCCCCCAACACTCTCTTGTTGTGATTCATTAGTTTCACACGTTGGGCTTCCATGAGTATTTCTGTTTTGGGTTTAAGAGAGGGCTCACTGACTTTAAAAAACAAATAAACCAGGAAACTATGGCTTATTTAGCTTTGTAGAATTCCGACGTTGCAGTTAGAACTGGGTTTGTAGTCTGGCGTCATCCTTACATGTACACAATCTTGACTAACTTACTTAAGCTTCCTAAGTGTTCATGTCTTCACCTGTAACATACACAGTACAAAATAATTTCCACCTCACAGGTTTGTTAAAAGCTTAAATAAAAACATTATGCTTAAATAAAAACACTATAAAAGAATCACTATGGTGTTTAATATATAATGCATGATCAATAAATGGCAAGTATTTAAAAAATAATTCTATTAAGTCTTAATAATTCTATAAAAGTCTTTGTGGTTTACTCCTTACTAATGTTCCAGTTTTTGATTTTAAAGCCATTAGGATTTAAATGAATGAGGATAATTAAAAATGCCCAAGTGAATGTGGACATTACTGAACACTGAGGGTTTTCTCTGAAAATGCAAAATCAGGATTTAAGAGTTACTGGAGGGCTGATGAATTAAAATAAATGGGGGTATATACCCTCTAAGGAGAACAGACTTTCAGCTCCGCATGTATAAATTAGGAAAATAAAATGAGCTCACTGAGGAAGCATGCTTTCTCTAGAGCCAGTGGTTTTAATGCCAAATCCTAACAAAGCAAAGTAAACAACAAGTCTGAAGTTAAATGGATCCTAAGTGGCCATATACATTCTCAAAGAGATGGACAGAGTCTGAGAAGAGAGCTTCCATCAATGTTAATGTGAGCAGAGCCGCTGAAATGCCAGGCATTAAAAGAAAGAAGAAATGCTTTGAAACACTCTGAATTATTTATCTGAGAAAAGAAATCAAAGTAAAAGATAAGAGAACCACACATTCACCACCAGTGGCTAAGAGCTGTTTCATATTCTCTTCTCTACAAATACTATTTTTCAAGCCCATTAGAACTTGGAGTCACGTTATGACCAACATTTTTTTTGTCTTTCTTTTGCTCCTCAGATCAAATTTCAAAACAAAAGAAAATATTTAATTAAGAATTCCTTAAGGTTTGTATTATCAGTAAAACCTATCACATTCCCTCAACTCTATTATCTGCCAAGGAGTGAGTAAGAAAGCAAAGACTATAAAATATACTGTTTAAGAGTCTCATGCTCTACCGACTGAGCTAGCCGGGCGCCCTAAAATATACTGTTTAGAAGCCCAAAAGCTGACTAAGGAAGATGCATGCTTGAAAATACTGCTTATGGCATATGATGGTCTAAAAATATCTCAAAGCAATTTAGGAGATTTATGAGGTATATAATAAAGCAAGAAAAGTAAAACCAGCTGTTAGCTTACTAGTAAGAAAATGAATTTGAAGTTAACAGTACAGTTTGTCCAAACAACATTTGTCAATAGAGATTTTCTTTAGCACTTCGTGTCCTTTTGGTTTCTAAGCCCATTTTCTTTTTGCAACTCCCTTCGTGACAATGTGCAATTATTTTTTTTCCAATATATGAAGTTTATTGTCAAATTGGTTTCCATACAACACCCAGTGCTCATCCCAAAAGGTGCCCTCCTCAATACCCATCACACACCCTCCTCTCCCTCCCACCCCCCTGCAATTATTTATAATATGGGAGTGATCACACACACTGTGACGTCACCTGCTTTCTGCTAAACTACATACAGCCATAAGACAAGCTCACAAATTACTGCTGAAAACAATAGGTTCCTAAATCAGCTAACCCATGATGCAGGAGGATGCACTTCCGAGCGTGTAATTTAATGGATAGTAATAGAAGATACTGAATTAAGGAGTAGTCTTTTAATTTTTTTTTTTATGTTTATTTTTTTTTGAGACAGAGAGAGACAGAGCATGAACGGGGGAGGGGCAGAGAGAGAGGGAGACACAGAATCGGAAACAGGCTCCAGGCTCTGAGCCATCAGCCCAGAGCCTGACGCGGGGCTCGAACTCACGGACCGCGAGATCGTGACCTGAGCTGAAGTTGGCCGCTTAACCGACTGAGCCACCCAGGTGCCCCAGGAGTAGTCTTTTAAAGACAAACTCCCTCATTTTTTAGTGGTTTCCATTAAGTCTCACTAACACTTTATCTTACAATCACAATGCACAAAGCCCTGTGAAACCTGTGTGGCAGATAAACAGTTCTAGAAAACCACTTCCCTGACTGGTGAATTTCTCTGAGAAAGGATATTTGTTATGTAAGTGGTGGATTTTCAATTTGCCAAATTTAACTGCAGGCAGATCAAAGGCATTAGGAGTTAAAGTAATTGACATACAGTACTTGGGTGAACAAAATGCAATGAAGCATTTTGTATCAGTAAAGATCTCAAGAAGACGTCCGTTTTTTTTGCATGGGATTGTAAACTAAAATATAATGAAAAGTAGAATTCAAAGATACTATTTTCTTTTTCAACAAGGTATCAAATGGAATCAGCAGGTGCTATAACTAAAACTGTGTTTGTATATTCTAAAATTTTAGGGGTACCTGGCTGGCTCAGTTGGGTAGAGCATGTGACTCCTGATCTCAGGGTTGTGAGTTCAAGCCCCAAGTCGGGCATGAAGCTTACTTAAAAAAATTAAAAAAAAAAAAAAATATTCAAGGAAACTGGCGTCTCAGTTGGTTGAGCATCTGACTCTTTAAAAAAATTTTTTTTAATGTTTATTTATTTTTGACATAGAGAGAAAGGCAGCATGAACAGGGCAGGGGCAGAAAGAGAGGGAGACACAGATTCCAAAGCAGGCTCCAGGCTCTGAGCTGTCAGCACAGAGCCAGACATGGGGATTGAACCCATGAACCATGAGATCGTGACCTGAACTGAAGTCAGATGCTCAACCAACTGAGCCACCCAGGCACCCTGAGAGTCCAACTCTTGATTTTGGCTCAGGTCATGGATCCCAGGGTTGTGGGACTGAGTCCCATGTTGGGCTTTGCATTGAGTGTGGAGCCTGCTTAAGATTCCCTCTTTCTCTCCCTCTGCCCCCTCCCCTGCTTACTCTCTCTCTCTCTAAAATAAATAATAATAATAATAAAATTTTGAACAAATTGAGTAAAAAATATTCTGTAACTAAAACAAGCATAAACATTTTATTCAGATTGATTTTTGAAAGGCAGGGGTTCTGGAGATACTGACCCTATCTCCCATTCAACTCGGAATGTCTGATAATCTGTGGACAAGTATCAAACTGTTAGAAATCCAGCTCACCTCCCATCTTCTCTTACAAAATTGTCCCCGACCTGAGTAATTTTTAATTCTTTGAATCCTATGGCAATTAAGCTTGAGTCATTTCACTGAGAAGAGAAAGTATGTGAATGTGAGTAGCTATAAAACACTATATAACGGGGGTGTCTGTATGGCTCAGTCAGTTAAGTGTCTGGCTCTCGACTTTGGCTCAGATCATGATCTCATGGTTCATGAGTTTGAGTCCCGCATTGGGCTCTGTGCTCACAGTGCGGAGCCTGCTTGGGATTCTCTCTCTCCCCCTCTCCCTGCCTCTCTCCCCTGCCTCACTCTCTCCCTCTCTCTCAAAATAAATAAACTTAAAAAAAAACGCTATATAACATAACATGGGCACCCTGTCCCATGGCAGGTACCCAATACATAGTGGGCAAAAGAACAAATAATTCTATTTGTTGATTGTCTGATGTAAGCACAGCTCAACTCTTGAACCCAGCTGTCTCATTCCTGAGAATCCAGCGTATCTTCTATAACAAACCATCTGTAATGTTAATCAACTACAAAACTTCTTAGAGGTAATCTATATTAGAAAAATCATCCAACTGGGAAATGTAAGACCTAGCTCCCACCTCTGCCAATGAATAACCTTGAGATCTTTGGACAGCCACCAACCTGTCTGGGCCATGGTTTCCTCATGTTTAAAATGAATTCGGACCAGATGATCTCTAAACCACTGTCAGCTCTAAGAAGAGAACCTTACTATTGATAGGCCCTTAAACTATTTCAGGATTGTAGCAAAGAAATAATTTAATCTGATACCGAACATATTTCAGGAAGATTACTGAGGAGGAAAAAGAAGCAATTTTGAAGTTCTGAGTTCACTTGAGGGAGCCCTCTATCTACAGTGACTGTATGCTTTATCATCCCACAGAAGGCAAATGTAAGGTGAATGAGGGGCTATTAATAATTATGCTAAGACAACAGGCATAAACTGGAACTGTCCCAGGGCAACCTGGGAAATAAGGTTCCCTCCATCTTCCTCACCTTGGAGAGTTAAGAATTGTAACAGACCAAAGAAACTTCAGTTACATTAAAGTCCCTATTTACCACCAACTTACATTCAGATAATAAAGTGCCTAGTAGATACTACAAATTTATTTGTTCTTCAATAGTTTTAAGTTTCGTTTATTTTGAGAGAGAGAGAGAGAGAGAGAGAGAGCGTGTGAGCACAAGTGGGGGAGGGACAGAGAGAAAATCCGAAGCAAGCTCTGTGCCATCAGTGTGCAGCCCAATGTAGGGCTTGAACTCAGGAACTGTGAGACCATGACCTGAGCTGAAATCAAGACTCAAGACACTTAACCGACTGAGTCACCCAGGTGCCCCTTACGTGGCCTTCAAATACATTTAAGTAAACACAGTCAAAGGCTAATTTATTTCATACGTGACTTCCCAGGAAGAGCCATGGAATGAAAGGAAATGCTCTCTTTCATTTTCTTTAGCGTACTAAAAAAAAAAAAAAAAAAAGTCCATGTTGTATATCAGCATTTATAAAAATCCCACTGACACTGGAGAGTATGTCCCTTTCATCCCCAGCAAAGGTGTGAAGCAAGGTCCTGAAAAGAAGGTGAAGAAACAGGTTCCTGAAGAACCCCCCACCCCCACCCCACTGGGAGCCCCGAGGCAGCCTCTGACTTACTTGAATCCCTTTGGCATCAGGATGCACTTGGAGTCATGCTGGCAGGGGTTCAGGTCCTGGGCACAGAAGTCCAGCTTCTCCTCACACAACTCGCCTGTTAACATGGCAAACGGTGTTAGTTCACAGACAAAGGTTAACAGGCTTCCCGCCAGCAGGCTGTCAGGGGCCTCAGAGGTTAGCACAGCTTGTGACTGGGGAAAAAATAAATCACAAGATACGGAAGCAGAAGATCCAAAGGGCTGGTTATGCTGCTACACAGTCAGGATTTGGGATAACACAACTATTGTGATTTGTAACTAATATGAGCCCCTTTAGAACACACTGTTGGAATGAGAAAAAGGAAATCTGAATGCTTTTCATTTTCTGTTGTTTCATTTGTTTTAATTTGGACTTTTTAGGGGCGCCTGGGTGGCTCAGTCGGTTAAGCATCCAACTTCGGCTCAGGTCATGATCTCATGGTTCCTGAGTTCCAGCCCCGCGTCGGGCTTTGTGCTGACAGCTCAGAGTCTGGAACCTGCTTCGGATTCTGTGTCTCCCTTTCTCTCTGCTCCTCCCTCACTCATGCTCTATCTGTCTGTCTCTCAAAAGTGAATAAACGTTAAAAAAATTAATTCGGACTTTTTACTGAGGTATAGCATATACCCAAAGGATAAATGACTAGCTAACAAATATTCACATACTGAACCCACTAACGTAACCAGCATCCACATCCAGAAACATACCATTTACCAGCATCCCAGAGACCTGACCCCAAGATGAGTAACCACTGTCCTAACAGGACCAAACATGAGTTGTGCCTGTTTCTGAATGTGACATAAATAGACTCATTTGGTATGTACCCCTTTATGTCTGGCCCGTTCTGTGGTTTTATGTTTGGAAAACTAATCCTCATATCTTCATAGTCTCCAAGGTCTCATAAAGTCTGGAAGAAAAAGATGTTGTTTCTCTCTTATGACTTAATTGCAACGGCTAATAGACTACTCCTTAGTTATATCCACTAAGAAAAAAGCAAAGGGAGAACGAATCTGGACAGAGTATCAGTTAACTCATAAAGAACAAATTTTATCAATAAATGAGAGCTAAAAGCATAACCATGCAGATTCTAGACACTTTATGGTGAATTGTATGCCTGCGAATCTCTTAAGAAATTTCTTCAGATATAAATAATATGGTGGTATCTTATTTTCAGATATATTTGGCTAAATAATGATTTTTGGTGAGACTTTCCCAATCACTGTGGGAGATAATAAATAACTGGAAAGATACAAAATTTAAAAGTCATCTCCTTTCCTACCTTACCTCTAAATCACTTTTTAATTGTGTTATATGCGATAAGTGAATGAATACAGTGACACATCCAGACAGCTGTTCATTTCCAAGAAACTATTAGAACTTTTATTCATTCAAAGTGTGTGGATTTAAACAGCATTGTTTAAAAACCAGTTTACACACATTCCTTTGTTATAAGACTATCCTTTTAAGGAAAAACTTTGCTAACTGGTAGAAAGAGTTGCTTAGCAACTCAATGTGGCATATTCAAGAATCTGTATCCATGATGCAAATACATAAATGTAGTCAGTTATTATGTCAATTTGGTGTATGATAAGTTAGTTTTTTTTGTGTCTCTTAAAATGAACTAACTACATTGAAAGTCTCATAGATTTCTTCTTTGTAAGAAAGTTGTCTGTGTCTCTAGATTTGTGATACAAAAAGTTTTTAACAACGTATAAATGATGAGCTACTTTTAAACAGGGTTTATATAAAGCTTTTCACTTTCAGTATTATTTTAAGTAATACATCTTGATGGAATTTATTCATTATAATTTATCAGCCTACCATGAGGAAATAATTTTGAATTTTCCAATCAAACCTATTTGGTTGGATACAGGTTGTTTATAGTAATCTATAGATAAGGTAGGTTGTAGTAACTGATGATAGAGAGGGACCATATATGATATACATAATAAGTGTATATTGTATATTGACCATAAAATATATATTTTATATATATATATATATATATATATATATATTGTTTTCCACTCAATACTCAATAAGAAATTGCTTTAAAAATTATAAAAGGGGAAATGTTTGATTTCTTAGTCACTTACATCCACTCCAACCCAACTCAATCCAATCTAATCAAGCTGACTTATACCACAGTTCATAAGGATTTACAAAGAGAAATTCATCTCTTAAGAGAAGAAATTAGACTTGACCCTTTCTCCTACACCAGGTGTTTCTCCATAAACTTGATGTGGAAAGGAATAAGAAAGGAGATGGCTGTAAGACACTGTTGGCTAAACAGACTGGCCATTCTCTAATTAACAGCTTTAAGGCAAAACATGCTAATTTGAATGTGAAAAGCTATACTGATGTGAAGTGTTCCTCAATTTGCAAGGAATCTATCTTCTAAGAACAGCACAGCAGCAGTATTAATCATTGCTAAACTTGTGTATGATAGTTCTTTGTGACCAATACATAACTACACATTTGATTCTGGTGAACATGGGCTGATTACTTCAAAAAGGATCTGTCTCCCTTTAAGTGTCACCGATACTAACAAATATTATATTCCATCACTCACTTTTAAAGCCAAATTTTGCAACCTGTACTCTTGTCTCCTGTGTCTATTTATGATTTTACGAATTTATCTCAACTCCAGGTCTGGGCTAATGGTGTTTCCTTTTGTTTTAGTAACTTTAATAAGTTCTGTTGTCAATTTTTCCATCCATTATATGTCCCCTCTTTATGAGTTTGTTAGCTATCTACAATTTTTATATTTCATGTTTGCCTGTGTCTATCTTATGGCACATCTATTGTATGAATTTACTTATTGACTTAATAAATATTTATACAGTGTTTACTGCTGTGTGCCAGATAGTTTCAAACACTGTATAAATATGGAGTTGCTTAATGTTCCTGACAACCATTTAATAAGGAAAGGGCACAGAGCTGTATGGTTTTGAATGTGCTGGATATTACTGGTGTTTACCTCATTTCCTTTCTTTGACTGTAAGAGCACTGAGAGCAGTATTCTTGGCATATTTGCCTTCCTATCTATAAAGTATGATGTTATGACGCACTAAAATAATAGTTATTGAAAAAAGATACATGCTTTTTAAGATAAGAGTGCTATCTTGTTGACCTATATTCAACTTGGACTTCAATTTAGCATTTAGACAATTTTCTGTTCAATGGGTAATAATTAGTCACCCATAATTAATAATAAGTACTTATGACTTTCCTTTAAGCATTACTTTAACTTTCCTCTGGCCAAATATTAAATGTTTTCATTGGACTATTTATTTTTTTCAAATTATATTGGATTCTGCTGTGTTGGAGTGAAGGTAGTTTTAAAGTTCAAATACTGTCCCACAGAGGTGAAACTCAAGAACTGAGCATAAGATGGGAATTGTAGCAAGCTCCACAGACAAATGTACAAGTTTAGATCTACTTCTTAACCAGTAAAGTTGGACATTTGAAAGCTGCATTCGTTTTCCAGGAAGAACAGAAATAAAATGCACTAATATTAGTTCACTCATATGCTTTTAGTTACTATTGAAAATTTCTCCTAAAACTTATAGTATTGAGTGAACATTATGCCTGCCCCTTCCTTCCTTCCTTCCTTCCTTCCTTCCTTCCTTCC